GAGAGCTAAATTATAGATAAATGGCGTATCCGCCCGGAGTCACCTGAATAAAATGTTTAGAGAACTCCGGCGTAAAACAAACAACTGTAATCCGGGATAAAGAGGGACGCCGGCAATAATCAGGCTGAATGTACCGTTGGGGCTTGTACATGCTGGCAGCTCCGCTCTGCATTGGGTCTCTCCAGGTGAACAAGAATACGCATAAATTAACCCGAGCTGCAGGAAGGTGCACTGCTGTCTTCGCCTTTAATCCTCAATGCAGACTGCTCAGACAGCACACCATGGCAGAACCATGTTGTATCTGAAGAATCTTCAATAAAGATTCTTGTGGACAATACCAGAGTTGTGTGACCCTACTTTCCAGACTTGCATTATCTGCTACAGGCATGTGAGTGGGTTCCATGCCGGTCTGCACCCAAGGTCATAAGGTGTTACTAAAAACAGTAATAATCAAATGCAGAGGCAATTATTTAATATAATAAAGAGATGCCCGTAGCGAAAAGGAAGAAAAAGAAAAATAGCGCAGAGCAGACATGACTAGGTTAAGAGGGGGATAGGAAGGATAAGAAAGGATTAAAGAAAAAAGGTGGCAGTTACCTGATTGGTGATGGGGAGTGCAGGGTGGGGTCTTCGACACCTTTGGGTGTGGATGGGGAGGGTCGTCCAGATCAGTGCAGGAGGAGACAGTGGTGGAGCGAGCTTCCCTCCCACCCTCCCTTGGGGTTTGTGTGGGTGTTTTTCTTGCTCCGTGGGGCGGTTGTTGGTCTTTGGAGGGGGCACTTACTTTGAAGCTAAAGCTAATGGTTGGGACCCATCGGTGGTATGGTGTGCCCGGGTGTATTCCGGTTAACCGAGGTTTAATTGGAAGGTGGAGATTCTGCACTGCGGATAGTATGTTTTTGTCTCCAAGCCAGTGCGTTGCAGCTGGCGGTCTAGTTATAATATAGGTTCCACAGGGGGATATCATTTTTTGTTTGGTGCCTTCGAAGACCAACAACTTCTCCTGTATGTTTCTGTTTTACGGAATGTGTTGTGTATTGAAGTTGAATAGTTAATAAAAGGCCGTGTTGGCCATTTTATTCCAATCGGTGTTATATATTTTTCCTTTAATGGTATGTTAAGGGGGTATGTGAGAGAGAGAGACGGTGGTGTAGGGGGTCTTAGCTAGCATATCTCTTATGCACCACTTAAGAGTAGATACATTATATAGTATCACAGATAGAACCAGCAACCATAATGCTCACGCGGCCCGTGATGAAATGGTGTTTGACAACCCTAAGCATATGTGTAGAAACAAACATTTTTTTCTGATGGATAGAGTGAGGAAGGGTTAGATCTTCTTACAAGTTGTTATTGCTTTCTGAGTTCCTATAATGGAGATTCACCCTTCTATTTGGTCATCATTGTCAACGAAACAGGAAGTGATGGGAAATCCAAAATGTTGCCTAATCGGTGAGGTATTTAAGAAGAGTAACAATAGTTTACTCTGTGGGGTTTGCTCTTTGAGACCGCATCAGGACAGAAGTGCAGCGGACACAAGTGTACATTGATTAAGTCAACATATCAAGCATAGCCTGATACAGAACCACCCACATCTGACTCTCTGCCCATAATATGATTTTTGAAGGGTGTATTTCAGGGCCAGTCTTGGGGACATTGAAAGCATTAGGGCCCCTCTGTGTCGCAGTCTGGGATCAGGCTTGGAGGACAGTGGCTCTCACTGGCATTAGGTCACATCACTTTTTCTTGCACTTTGCCTTCTGGCAGGCCATCTGGCTAGTCAGGGTAATTTTTATACCGGTCAAATGGCCCACTGTCATTGTCAGGGGTCAGGCTCAGAGACCAGTAGCTATATCAGTAGAGAGGCTCCAACCGATTAGTAGGATAGGTATACAAGCAGGTCACCCTGACAGATGACACAGGCTCACCCGAGGTTTAAGCACTAACCAGACTTCACCAGAACTCCTGGTGGTGGAGATGGGTTTTGTTGTGTGTTAGTACCAGGTGGCGGTCCTCAGGATCATCCCACCACGAGATGAGCATACCGGGGTCCACTAGCAGATACAGCAGGTAGGGATCAAGCAGAAATGTAGTCAGTAAACAAGCCAAAGGACAATTACAAGTGCTTGCAGGTTGGGATCAAGCAGAGGCGTAGTCGAGGAACAAGCCAAAAGTCGGTAACGAGTGGTAGCAAAGATATGGACAACAGCAGGAGTGACTATTGCTGGAGAGCAAGAGTGCAATCCAAACGAACGTATTCCTGCGTTAAAAATGGCTGTGTGTATAAGTGGGTGCTGCAGCAACCGTTGGCTGGAACCGAAACAGAATCAGCAAGGGAGAATATCACCAGCACACCAAGGATCACCAAATTTGATCTTCGGTGTTCTGGTGACATTCTTCCATATTGGCTGGAGAGAGCACAATATTCTGATAAAAATGAAATGCAGATACATGGCTTAAATCGGAAAGTTCATGGGAGGAGCAAAGCATTCAAGGTTCACAAGAAACATGGGAAGGCAAGATTGTCCTAAGAGATCATACAGGGAGCTATATAGCATCTCAGGTGTTTCAGCAAGAAGAGTTACTGTCAGACACGGAAGAGCTCCTGGGTTCAGATACAGGCCATGACACCTGCTGTGATTTACCCATAGCACCTTTTCTTTTGTCAATGAACAAGCCAAAAGGCCAGTAATGAGTAGAAGGTAGATGGGATCACATGGAAGTGTCGATGAACAAGCCAAAATGTCAGTAATGAGTAGAAGTTGGATGGGATCACATGGAAGTGTCGATGAACAAGCCAAAAGGCCAGTAATGAGTAGAAGTTGGATGGGATTACATGGGAGTGTCGATGAGCAAAAAGGTCAGTAATGAGTAGAAGTTGGATGGGATTACATGGAAGTGTCGATGAACAAGCCAGACGTCAGTAATGAGTAGAAGTTGGATGGGATTACATGGAAGTGTCAATGAACAAGCCAGCACATCAGTAATGAGTAGAAGTTGGATGGGATCTCATGGAAGTGTCAATGAACAAGCCAGCACATCAGTAATGAGTAGAAGTTGGATGGGATCACATGAAGTGTCGATGAACAAGCCAAAACCTCAGTAATGAGTAGAAGTTGGATGGGATCACATGGAAGTGTCGATGAACAAGCCAAAAGGCCAGTAATGAGTAGAAGTTGGATGGGATCACATGGAAGTGTCGATGAGCAAGCCAAAAGGTCAGTAATGAGTAGAAGTTGGATGGGATCACATGGAAGTGTCGATGAGCAAGCCAAAATGTCAGTAATGAGTAGAAGTTGGATGGGATCACATGGAAGTGTCGATGAACAAGCCACACATCAGTAATGAGTAGAAGTTGGATGGGATCACAGTGTCAATGAACAAGCCAGCACGTCAGTAATGAGTAGAAGTTGGATGGGATCACATGGAAGTGTCGATGAACAAGCCAAAACCTCAGTAATGAGTAGAAGTTGGATGGGATCACATGGAAGTGTCGATGAACAAGCCAAAAGGCCAGTAATGAGTAGAAGTTGGATGGGATCACATGGAAGTGTCGATGAGCAAGCCAAAAGGTCAGTAATGAGTAGAAGTTGGATGGGATCACATGGAAGTGTCGATGAACAAGCCAAAATGTCAGTAATGAGTAGAAGTTGGATGGGATCACATGGAAGTGTCGATGAACAAGCCAACACATCAGTAATGAGTAGAAGTTGGATGGGATCACATGGACGTGTCGATGAACAAGCCAAAAGATCATAATGAGTAGAAGTTGGATGGGATCACATGGGACGTGTCGATGAACAAGCCAAAACGTCAGTAATGAGTAGAAGTTGGATGGGATCACATGGACGTGTCGATGAAGAAGCCAAAAGGCCAGTAATGAGTAGAAGTTGGATGGGATCACATGGAAGTGTCGATGAACAAGCCAAAAGATCAGTAATGAGTAGAAGTTGGATGAGATCATATGGAAGTGTCGATGAACAAGCCAAAAGGCCAGTAATGAGTAGAAGTTGGATGGGATCACATGGAAGTGTCGATGAGCAAGCCAAAACGTCAGTAATGAGTAGAAGTTGGATGGGATCACATGGACGTGTCGATGAAGAAGCCAAAAGACCAGTAATGAGTAGAAGTTGGATGGGATTACATGGACGTGTCGATGAACAAGCCAAGGGTCTGTAACGAGTGGTAATCAAGATACAGAAAGCAGCAGGAATAAAAGGCGTGAGATACTGGCTGGAGAGAGCACAATAATCTGGCAAACAGGAAGTGCAGGGACATGGCTAAAATAGGAAGTTCATGGGAGGAGCAAAGAGGTCAAGGTTTATTAGAAACAATGCAAGGTTGTCCAAGAAATCAAATAGGGTGCAGTCCACATCTCAGGTGGCACAGCAATAAGAGCTACATACAGACAACGCAGAGGTCCCACGTTCAGTTCCAGATCCTGACACTCTGACACCAATGGGTATGGGGCATGATGTGTAGTATTGTAGGGGCACATTTTAACCCTTGCCAGTATTGACAGCCCCAGTGCCAGGTCAGTTGTCCATGTTCTTCCAAGTGAAGGAGGGGGTGCTACTTTCTGGATCAGGAATAAAAGGCGTGAGATATTGGCTGGAGAGAGCACAATAATCTGTCAAACAGGAAGTGCAGGGACATGGCTAACATAGGAAGTTCATGAGAAGAGCAAAGAGTTCAAGGTTTACTAGAAACAATGTAAGGTTGTCCAAGGAATCAAATAGGGTGCAGTCCAGCATATCAGGTGGCACAGCAAGAACAACTACAGCCAGACACGGCAGAGGTCCCATGTTCAGTTCCATATCCTGACACTCTGACACCAATGGGTATGGGGCAGGGGCAGACTGACAACCCATGGGGCCCCCAGGCAATAGGGGGTCATGGGGCCCCTGTGTCCTTGCCCAAACTCAAAAAAAGCCTATGAAAAAGGTACCAGGGGCATCTCATGGGGCCCCCTACTGACCCCGGGCCCTCGGGCAGTGCCCGAATTTCCAAATGGTCAGTCCGCCCTTAGTATGGGGCATGATGTGTAGTATTGTAGGGGCACATTTTACCCCTTGCCAGTATTGACAGCCCTAGTGCCAGCTCAGTTGTCCATGTTCTTCCAAGTAAAGAAAGGGGTTCTACTTTCTGGAGCTTCTCCAGAAGCGATACTGTAATATAGATTTCTGGCACCAATCATCCAGACATGCAGGGAAATAAACGTTTAGCTAAGTGCTTGTGTGTACTGAGTAGGTATCATCTGCCGCTTGAGTAGACTAAGCTTAAATCAATAGACAATAACCCTGCCTATATGTTCTGCAGGAGGAAACTTGCACAAATGGGAAAATCCTGGTGGGAATTGAAATCAAGACTCCAGTGCTGCAAGACCACATAGCTAACCACTGAGTTACCATAATGCATAGTAAAGGATCCCACTAATTACAGGATGCTTAGACTGTAATGTACCTAAATTGTATTCCTCTCCTAACTATCCAATATGTAGTTCTTATCTCTCTTCTGTAGCACTAAATCCATCATGGCCCCCAACCCCCCTCTGCAGGAATACTATCACTGCACTATAAGTGGAACACACAGAAAAAGGCGCATTAAATACATTCGACAGCTCTACTGAAGGGATGAGGTACGTTTGCAGTCTGGTCTATATAATGAAGCTCTACTGAAACCCGATGGCCGCGGCACTATGCAGTTTAATGTTTCTTAATGTAACTGTTGAGAAAAGAGTCTAATTATAGGCTTGTATTACGCCAAGTATTCTCAGCGGGTTATGTAAACGCTGCTTTTAACGGAGGCATTATCAGGATCAGTCATTTTCATTTCCAGTTTAACCCCTCCGGCACCGGCCTAGGTGCAATCTAGCTTTCTGCTGAAACGGTATCTTTATGGGGCCTTGAGGGAGGAGGCCCGGACTAGCATTCTGGTCTTTTAGGGCATTTGTCAGAAGGGTTGAATTTACTAAGAGTAAAAATGGCTTAATCAAGGCAAATTCTACCCCAAGAAACCAGAGTTTTAAAATATATAAAGGGTTCAGGGTTTGTTAGTGTGGTACGTGTGGAAGCCTAATACATTTCCTAAAGTCATAATGCTCATTTTACTTAAAGTCCAATTGGACTTTCAGTTTAGGTCAGCTAAAAATATTCCGGGTGCTTTAACCCCTTCTTGTCCAGCCCCAGCATCCCTTTAACTAGGCTATTAAGCCCAGGGGGTGGGAAGGTCTGCCTGGTCCAGGGGCGGACTGACCATTTGGAAATTCGGGCACTGCCCAAGGGCCTGGGGTCAGTAGGGGGCTCCATGAGATGCCCTGGTACCTTTTTCATAGGCTTTTTTGAATTTGGGCAAGGACACAGGGGCCCCATGATCCCCTAATGCTCGGGGCCCCATGAGTTGTCAGTCCGCCCCTGGCCTGGTCATGTGACTACTATGATGATTATATGTCACAGTGTACAGGTGGTCAGGACCCGGTCCGGCCAGCAACTTATCATTATTCCTGGTTCACATCTATGCGGCCGCGTTTTGCGCAGGCATGAGAGCCCATTCATTTGAATGGACTCCCGTGCCCACGACATGCAGGGAAAGAAGTCCCTGCACTTCTTTGGAAAACACAGCCTGCACGGGAACCTCAGTTTCCAGTACAGTTGCGTTTTCCAGTGCGGGCGGCGTGCCATTAGAACTAATGGCACCCCCGCCCGCGGGTCCGCATTCCTCTGTGCGGGTGGTGCGGCTGCACGGATTTTTTTTTTCGGATCCGCAGCGGCACCACCCGCACAGATGTGAGCCTAGGGTGACTAGAGACTGGGATGTCTTCGACAGTTCAGTCATTGTGCTTAGGGGCATGCATTGAGCACGAGAACAAAACAGGGCCTCCTTGTGCATTACGGTGATAATATGAAATTTATTATAAAAATACAAATGCATACTCAAAAGCCAAAAAAGTAAAAAAAAAAAAAAGATAAGGAGTCAAAGGATTCCAGTCGTGGACAGCATATGTCCTCGGGTAAAGTGCTAACGCGTTTCGGGAGTCGAACTCCCTTCCTCAGAGCACTCAGCACTGAAACGACTGCTGTCCTCGGACGCATACATACGACATATGGGAATTACCTCTTGCCGCCCAGTCACAGTAGTTTTACTGCCGGTGAGTGGCACAGCTAAGCCGTAAAACGTACCTGTACGTTGCCAGCCTGCTTTGGTTTTGGGGTGCGCATACGCCCCCTGCCAACCTATCCTGTGATTGCACACAGCACAAGTTAATCAACTGGTTTCAGCCAATGATTTTGTCTGAAACCTGATGATCAACTGTGTCCAATCACAGAACCAAGTACTGTGTTTACAAAAACACAGAACTCTCTGTTCACAGCACAGTGATCTGGCCAGATCTGTAAGTAAAAGCAGCACACATTACACTTGTTAGGCACACATTTAATCCCTTGATTGCCCCTTGATGTTAACCCCTTCCCAACCAGTGTCATTATACAGTGTACAGTATCATAGCTGATCACTGTATTAGTGCCCCCGTTCATGTTAGACAGTCAGTAAGTTAGTGTACCTCTCAGCAGGGCTGTGGATAAGGGGGTACCACCAGTCTTCCTGTGCGGGGCCCAGGCCAACAGAGGGGCCCAGGCAACTGGGTGAATCGGATATGGGCAGGGAGGGTGATGCACGACTGGGGGGCAATTACTGGAACCGATCCCCTGTATGGCTCTCTCTGCAGCAGCTGAAAGTTGGCTTCTTCTCCTCTCCCTCCTTCAGCTTTCAGCTGCTGCAGAGAGAGCCATACAGAGGATCGGTTCCAGTAATTGCCCACCTGCGGCACCCATCACCCTCCCTGTGCACCATACGTTTCCCCCCTGCTGCCAAGGCCCCCATGTGTGCCCACCCCTGACAGTTTCTCTCCTCCTTTCCACAGGTGACTGCCAGCACACAACAGGATCCTTCAGAATGAGGAGTGGGGGAATGGACCAGTAAATATGTAATTTTTATTAGCTCCTTCCTGTCCTTAATGAACACAATAAGTAATCAATACTAATCACTCACTGTGTTCATTCATAACTGAAGCATAGTAAGCTTTAATTTTTTTTTTGGGGGGGGGGGGGCCCTGTCAGGTTGGTTGTATGGGGCCCTGTGGTTTCTAACAGTAGCCCTGCCTCTCAGCAAGTGTCTGTTAGCATAAGATTGCCCGCCACACTATCACAGTCCCACTAGAAGTCACTGATCACCACCATTACAAGTAGAGCATCTATAGCTGCTTAAATTCCAGTATATATACCATCCTTTTAGACTCTATAACTTTCCCACAAACCAATTAATAGACACTTATTGGGATTTAAATTTTTTTACCAAAGACATGAAGCAGAATACATTTTGGCCTAAACCCAGTGGTGATCAAAATACCACCAAAAAAAGCTCTATTTGTGTGAAAAAAATTATATAAATTTAATTTGGGTATAGCACTGCATGACCGAGCAATTGCCAGTTCAAGGTCATGAAGGGATAAAGACTGGTCCCCCCCCCGCTCCCCATTAAGGATTTACAACTTTGGGGAGCGGGTACCCAAATTTGACAGGTACCCGCTCCCACTTCCCGCTGCGATCGCCTAGGCGATCGGGAAGCGGAAGTTGTCCTCCTTTCCCTCCCTCCCCGTAGTCTTCTGGGACACGTGACAGGTCTAGAAGACTACGGGGCCACTTAGGAATGCGGATGCGCACTGGGCACCCGGCTTTGTCACAGCTGGGTGCCCACACTAAAGATGCCGGCGCCTGGAACACCAGACGCCTGGTGAAACGGGCTGCGGGGGACACACCGCGGGATTGTGGGACAGGTAAGTGGCTGTTTTTTAAAAGTCAGCAGCTACATTTTTTGTAGCATAGAGAAGAGAAGAAGCGCCTCTAAGAGCAGTGTAAGTAACTTTAATGGATAACAAAATGTAGAACAACCCACATATTGCATGTTAAAAGCAAGCTCAAAAGGACAGGAGAACGGCTGTGTCCATGCTGTGTCAGACACGTCTGCACTCAGAAGACTGTGGATGTAGGAAAGAACCGGCCAGTGTGTGGAGTCTCCTAAAGATGGTGTCTGGAACGCACATTGAGGCGCGATGTTGGGCGTCAGCGTGATGACGTAAATGGACCAGCATGCACAGCGACGCGTTTCGGAGCATGTGCTAGACCTCTAAGGGTGGAAGCACGCTCCCTTATCAAGAGCTTCTCTTCTCTATTCTAGGTCTGCTACTACTACATGAGGCTTGCCCTAGTGCAGGGGTAGGCAACCTGCGGCCTCTCCAGCTGTTGCAGGACTACAAGTTCCATCATGCCTCTGCAAGTCATAGCTGTAACTGTCAGTTTTGTAATGTTGCAATGCCTCATGGGAAATGTAGTTCCACAACAGCTAGAAAGCCGTAGGTTGCCTACCCCTGCCCTAGTGCTATATGAACTTTTGTAGCCCTACATTGGACTTTTTTGGACTCTTTTACTATTTTATTAGCTGGCTGATAGCACTTTGCGCTGATTGTTCTCTATTTGAGTTTCTTACAGTTTTTGTAGCTGCTGACTTTTATTTTTTTTTACAAGTGAGTGGGAGCTCCGCTTTAATTAGCTTCGAAAGAGAATTTTCTCCTATCTTACTGAATGTGGGAAAGCTCTGCTTACTTCCACCATCCAATCAAGAGCAAGCTTAATGTCTTTCTTTTCCTTTTCGATTGGTCATTCCTGTTAAATGTGTTAAGGGAATATTCCCTTGCAAAGTGAACATGCTCCCCCTCTGTAGTAAATCAACCCCAATGCACTGCCATTGGTTGGTGTACATGCATTATTACCATGTATCACGATCAGGAGCGGACTGACCATTTGGAAACTCTGGCACTGCCCGAGGGCCCGGGGTCAGTAGAGGGCCCCATGAGATGCCCCTGGTACCTTTTTCATAGGCTTTTTTGAGTTTGGGCAAGGACACAGGGGCCCCATGATCCCCTATTGCCCGGGCCCCATGAGTTGTCAGTCCACCCCTGGTCACGATGCATGTTAGCACTGTGTTGTGAATGAGCCCCTATTGTTTAATAGCTTCTGATTGCTTGTTCAATGGTCTTACTTCATAACAGAGTTTCTTTTTTATGATATATTCTTTATTTTTAGGCAAAGCAGACTGGAGAAGGAAAGAGAGTATGCAAATTATGACAACCCTATTACCATAATTACAAGTCTCCTCATCTATAAGGAACAAAGACTGTCACATTAATATGTTATTATAACAATTATTACATAATAGCAATAAACCAAGAGATTTACAAAGAGGTTTATTATGTCTGCATACAAAGTGTCTGTAGTTTAGTAGGAAGAAGGGAGGGTGAGTAGGTTCAGGTTGTGTGTTAAATCTGACCTCCAGCCTTCCCTCCAGTCTTGCACAGGTGTACAGGCTCCTCTCCTGGACTAAAACAGCTTACTCTGATTTCACTGCACACTGTGAGCTTCCCACCATGTGCACTAGAAACAGAAGGAGATCAGATGGACCTCATTTTCTGGCTGGAGCCAGACTGTCCCTGGACCGCCCCTTTCTTTTTTTGCATCTCTGTTTTTTTCAACCATGGAGGCTCAGCATAAGATGTGGGCATTACCTAGCCACTTGCAAACCGCAATACGTATATATACACTGTGTTGCCAAAAGTATTGGGCCCTCATGTGATTCAGGTGTTGCAATCCCCTCCATGAACACAGGTGTATAAAATCATCACCCAGGCATGCAGACTGCTTCTACAAACATTGGTGAAAGAATGGGTCGCTCTCAGGAGCTCAGTGACTCCAAGCGTGGTTCCGTGATAGGTGGTCACCTGTGCAATAAGTCCATCCGTGACATTTCCTGGCTACTAAATATTCCACGCTCAACTGTTAGTGGGATTATAAACAAAGTGGAAGCAACTGGGAACAACACAGCAACTCAGCCACCAAGTGGTAGGCCACGTCACATGACAGAGCGGGGTCAGCGCATGCTGAAGCACACAGTGCGCAGAAGTCGCCAACTGTCTACAGAGTCAATAGCTAAAGACCTCCAAACTTGGTGTGGCCTTCAGATGAGCACAACAACAGTGCGTAGAGAGCTTCATGGAATGGGTTTCCATGGAGGAGCAGCTGCATCCAAGCCTTCCATCACCAAGTGCAATGCAAAGCGTCGGATGCCGTGGTGTAAAGCACGCCGCCACTGGACTCTAGAGCGGTGGAGACGTGCTCTCTAAAGGGACCAATCACTGTTTTTTTTTTTTATTTATTAAAATTTACTTTTTTCCCCCCAAAAGAATCGCATTTGGAAAACCACTGCACAATTATCATGTGACATAAAATAATTGCAACAATCACCATTTTATTCTCTAGGGTCTCTGCTAAAAGAAAAAAAATTATGTTTTGAAGTAATTTTCTGGCAAAAAAACCCCTGCTTTTTACATGTAAACAAAAAGTGCCAGAAAAGGCTTGGTATTTGAGTGGCTAGGGCATGTATATACAGCCTGCCTAGGAATGCCCATTCTCCCATACTTACAGTTGCAAGAAAAAGTATGTGAACCCCTTGGGATTACGTGGAGTTTTGCATGAATTGGGCATAAAATGTGCTCTGAACGTCATCTAAGTCACAACAATAGAAGAAACACAGTCTGCTGAACATAATACTACACAAACATTAGATGTTGCCATGGTTTAATTGCACATAACATGTAAACATTCGCAGTGCAGGGAGGAAAAAGTATGTGAACCTTTGGACTTAATAACTGGTTGACCCTCCTTTGGCAGCAATAACCTCAACCAAATGTTTCCTGTAGTTGCAGATCAGACCTGCACAATGATC